CCTCCTGTCCCACACATGAGACACCCTCCTCCACTGATAACCGGGCGAGAGGGGGCACAGTCAGTCTGAGCCACCTGCCAGGTCCATCAGGCTTACCACGCCTACTCACGAAGTAACATCAGCTGATAATGACATATCACCAACATGTTAACAAGGTAATACATCTAAAAGAACCAAAAAGTATGTTTTAACTCAAGAAAAAATGCCTAAAACTGCACTATTGCTGTATGCCTGCGTGCTCAAGGCAAGGCAAGGCAAGGCAAGTTTATTTATATAGCACAATTCATACACAAGGCAATTCAAAGTGCTGAACAAAACAAGAAAGCATTAAAATCATAAATTATCACAGAAAATTAAAAAGAAAGATAAAAATATAAAATCCCTCAGTTGTATGCACAGTTAAACAGAGCTGTCTTTAACCTGGTTTTAAACATTGTCAGAGAGGAGGCCTGTCTCACATCTTCAGGAAGACTGTTCCAGATTTTAGCAGCATGAATCTGAAAAGCAGCCTCCCCATGTTTAGTCCTGACTCTGGGCACTAACAGGAGTCCAGTCCCTGTGCTCCTCAGAGTCCGGGCTGGTTCATATGGGACTAACATGTCACTAATATATTTTGGTGCGAGGCTATGGAGAGACTTGTACACAAGCAGAGATAGCTGTTTTAAAGTCTATTCTCTGAGCCACAGGAAGCCAATGCAGAGACCTGAGAACTGGACTAATGTGGTCGTACTTCCTGGTTCTAGTCAGGACTCGAGCTGCTGCATTTTGAATGTACTGCAGCTGTTTTACAGCCTGTTTGGACAGACCTGTGAGCAGGCCATTTTAGTAGTCTAACCTACTGGAGACAAATACATGGATAAGAAATCTCCAGGTCTGCTTTAGACACTATGTTTTTGATCCTTGGCAATGTTTTTTAGATGGTAAAAAGCTGCTGATGTTACTGATTTGATGTGGCTAATAAAATTTAAGTCTGAGTCCAGTATTACCCCTAGATTTCTGACCTTGTTTGAAGGTTTTAGGGAGAGAGACTGTAGGTGACAGATGACGCTCTCTCTTTGTTTCTGGGGACCAAAGACAATCATTTCAGTTTTGTCTGCGTTTAGCTGAGGAAGTTGTTTTGCATCCACTCACTGATCTGTCGTGGATACAGTGAAGGAGAGGGTGAGTCCACTGGTCCATGTTCTCCTGCAGTCAGTGAGACATAGATCTGAGTGTCGTCTGCATTTAGTTATGATAGGAAACTTCGTTTCTGCGTATTAACTGACCTAAACGGCAGCATGTAGAGATTGAACAGAAGAGGTCCCAGGATCGACCCCTGTGGGACTCCACAGGTCAGGGGCCATATGATCTGAGACACAGTTTCCAATCTCCGCAAAGTACTTCCTGTCTTAAAGGTAAGACCCAAACCAAACTTAGGGCATGGGTGCCAGTGACGCCAACCCAGTCCTCTAGTCTCTGTAAGAGGATCTCATGGTCGACAGTGTCAAAGGCAGCACTTAGATCTAACAGGATTAGGATTGAGACTTTGCCTGCGTCAGTGTTCAGCCGGATATCGTTTGTACCTTAACGAGAGCAGTCTCAGTGCTGTGGTGGGTCTAAAGCCGGACTGAAACATATCAAATGAGTTGTTGATTATAAGAAATCTAGTAAGCTGTAGGTAGACAACTTTCTCAGGACTTTCCCCATAAATGGCAGATTTGAGATGGGACGATAGTTGTTAAGTACCGTAGCATCGAGACTGCTCTTTTTTAGCAGGGGCCTGATGACTGCAGTTTTCAGGGCCTTTTGGGAATATTCCAGAATGAAGGGACATTGTTGACACATGTCACATCATGTTGAGTACATGAGTGAGATTGTTAGTAAAGCAGCATGGCAGAGCTAGAAGAGATGGATTAGATTTACCTGTGGAGATTATGCACACTATTTGAACTGTAAAAACGTTGTCATGGAGCGCAAGCTTTGCGAAGGCAGCAATTGATTATCCACTGCAGCCAACTCTTTTTTGCAGCGTTTTCAGGAGCGCGTTTTCAGGGAAGCTGCCGCCTCCGACAGCACAACACTGACCACGGTGATAAGAACCCAGGGGACTTAAATGACGCTGTCAGGTCAAACCTCAAAGACTGAAAAAAATAGTCTTGTAGTGGCGTACGTTGCAGCAGATGCCGAGCCGCCGTCTTTCAGAATCATTTTACCCAAAATACAAACTGTGGATGGATTGAAATAATTTGTAAACAGCAGAACTGTCTGGCTATAATAGTATTTTACTTTCATGTAATGACTTTAATAAAGCAAAAATACAAACTTATTTCTGTTCTCTTTTTTGTGACACAAAGTAATCTAAAAGTAATGTACCTAATTACTTTTTCTAAGTAACCAGTAATTTGTAACTAATTGCATTTTCATAGTAACCCAATTTAATTGAGATAGGAGACCTCACACACGGAAATAAAAAATCACGGGTCTAACCACTTGGTCATACAGTGTGTGGTGCGCAGCCACACGGCAAGATCACGCAAACCACACGAACTGATTTCACCCCCGAGCATTCCCAGATCAGACGGAAATCTCACAAAATACTCTCGAGATCAAGCCTGACTTCAGAGTAAACAATCATGGCGGGGACGAAGAGGATGCAGTGGAGATAGTTTGTTTTTAGCAGAGAAAAGACGTAATCAGAAGAAAAGGCGATGGTCAAAGAAGTGTAGACAACACGAGCATGGACTTAACTTGCTTCATCGTGATTTGGAGGTGAGTTGTTTTTTTACGGTGTTTCCTCGCCGCCTCGTCTCGTCTTCTGATTGGCTACACGCCGCAGTCATGGCAACGCGCTCGTCTGTCCTCAGGGGACACCACACACGAGGATAAATCGGGCCAAAACAATCAACATGTTGGATATCCCGATATTGAGATCGGAGCAGTCCCGAAGTCCTTCCGTAGCGACGAGCACAGTCTTAACACACCCCACACACGGCAGGAAAATCCATCAGATTTTTGTTACGAGATTCGGAGCGTTCTTACGATTGTCGTAGGGGTAAATTGGGTCCAAAGTCGGCCTAATTATCCTGCCATGTGAACCAGGCTTAACGAATTTTCTGATAAACCAGTCTTGGACTGCATTTATCTTACTGATTATATGAATTTTTTTAAGAGATTTATCTGTCTCTCAACCTTTCCCTGCTAAAACTGAAATGAACAAAACAAACAACGACGGATCAATATTATCAAATTTGATAAAGTTTATGCAACTTCAGAGAATTATTGATTTGCCAACAGTAGATGAAAAAAGATAGGTGAACACACTACATCCTTCTGGAGCATACAACCTCCTCAGATTGATATGAACTGTGATTTTTTTAGCTGTTTGTTCATTCTATTATAGGGTGGGAGACGAGGGGCAAAGAAAATAAAAAGTTTTTTGTGGTAGGGAATGTTTTAATTAAACATAAGTACAGAGAAAACAAACAGGATAAAAGAATAGAGTGCATGAAGCACAGTGTGATGAATGGCACAATCTTTATTCGTTCTACAGTGGGGACGTTTCGGTACGTGTTGCAGCGCACATACATGACAGTAAGAGTAACACACAAAATATACATAGAGAAGCAGAGAATTAGCAGAGTATGGGAATCAAAAATAAATAATTAAAGTGGATGAATACTTATGCAGTAATGCGCTTAATTGCAGTATTTATAGATGAGATGACATGGACACACTTAGGAGTTTTCATTGTGCAGTCTGACAGCAGCAGATGGAAAGACCTGCAAATCATCTTCTTCACACAGCCAAGGGTGGATCGGTCTGTCACTGAAGTTGCTCTCCAGGAGCAGACAGAGTGTAATGCAGGGGGTGACAATCATGGTCCAGGTATAGATGTTAAGTATGTTACAGAGGACCCTACTGTTTCCCCCACCATGCGTTGGGCCAACTGGTTGTCCCCCTAGGGGGGGGGGTAACCCTAAGGGGGAGGCCCCCCCCCCCCCCTAGGATTTGGATAAATATGATGGCGGTGTGGTGGGAGAGGGTGCAACTTCTAAAGGTTTCTTTCCCCATCGTTTTATTCCCTATTTTTTTACCCTCTTTCTGTTTGAATGGGGTACGAATGATCCCCCAAAACTAATAAATTTTCAAAAGGGGAAGTTGTTTAAGTTTTTTACCCCAGTAGCCAATTTCTGGGTAATTTGCTTAATATAATTTTACTTACTGGTCATTTGACAGAAACAATGTTTCATGGGAAACGAATAAGTCCACCCAAAAACATATTATGACAATGTATTTTCAAAGAATTTTTTGAATTCAAGGGGTGTACTTTTTTTTCTTGTACGGGGATTTTAGTTTGTCATTATCGGGGTAACAAGGTTTGGCCCCATTTAGGATTTGGGGCTTTTTCCACGGCATCCATATTTCACTTTTGGCCCCCCACTACCCTTATGGGTTTTTTGAAAAACACAAATCCCAAAAGGGAGGCCCAATAGTATTTTGTGGACCACAATGGAATGTTTTTCCAGGGGATATAATGGATATATTTCCAACCAGATGGAGTTTATTAGGAGGGTTTTTCCAATTAATTTTCCCCCCTGTTGGGGGATTTGGGGAACGTTTTAACTTTTTACCCATTAAGTTTCGGGGGATGCAAAGGTGTACCGGAGGGGGTACAAAGGGAGTGGGGGATTTTCGCCATTTACCACGGTATTTTTAACGCAGTCATGCCTATTTTTTAAACTTATTTATCTTTTTCTCCCCCAATCAGTGGATACAGAATATTCAACAAAAGTTGGGGCTCCCCTTTTTTTTTTTAAAACTAATAATTAATGTTACCCTCTTTTCCCCTATTTACTGCGCCTTGGGTCCCATTGTTTTGGGGGATCCCTGGGCACCTGGGGAAATTGCACCCCCCCTTCCCCCCCAATTTCGTTTTTTGTTTAATTTTTTATCCCCTATTGTTGGCTTAGACCCACCACCCCCACCACACACAGTAATGGGGGGGCCATGTATTTTCTGAATCATGAAGGGTGGGGTTTTCGATTGACGTCTTCGATCCCCGATTTCTTGGGTGGGGGGGAATGTGGCATGGGGTTTACTTGGGTGGCACACTTGGGGTAGTTCAGTGGGGGGGACTTCGGGGTCTTGGTCTTTCCCCTCTCCCCCCCCCCGCTTGTGGAGGGCCCCCCAAATCCCCCCCAAATTCGGGGCCCCCCCCACCCAACTGGGCGGCGGCGCTGATTGGTGTTTCTTTGGATCATTTGATTTATAGCCCACCCCCCCCCCCCCCCCCCACCACCCCCCCACCCCCCCCCCCCTTTTTTTTGGGTCTCAGGGGGGCAGATTGTGGGGGCGTGAGTCGGGCCATTTCTGGTTTATTCCTGGAGTAATATATTTTTTGGGGGCTTTTTCCACCCTTTATTTTTAATTGGGGGAAAGTATTGGGTCCACTCTATTTGGAATTTTTCCCCATGCAAAGAGAGTGGGGGTGGCAGTATTTTTCTTTGTTGGGTGCCCATTGGGGACTTTTTCCCCGTGTTTCTAGCACTTCTATTTCCCCAGCGGGAACTGGGAACCACCCTTATTTTTTACAGAATAATTTTTTTTCCTTAGTAGTACCAATCTTATAATTATTGAAAATTTTAAGGGGGGACAACAAGTTTTTTTCCTTTCATTTGGATTTGAATTTTTTTTTTTTTATTTTTTATTATTTTTTGATTTTTTCTGTTTTTTTTTTTTTTTTAAGTGACCCTTTGGGGGGGAATAAACAAAAATAATTAGTTAGGGCTCCACAATCCACATTCCGGTTGAGGTTATTTCTCTTCAACCATATTCCACTTTGTGTTGGCTCTTTTTTACAGGGTGGCTCTCCGGCTGTTATCCGATTATCCGTATTGTGAAGGGAGCTTTCTTAATTACAAGGGGGGGAGGGAAAACAAACAATCCAACAAATCCACTTTTCGAAAACATTTCCCTTTTTACACCCCCCTTTTTTGTTAAAACCTCCCTTTTTTTTTGGGAGTATGTGGAACCCCATCTGCGGGGTCATTCTGATTCTTCTTCAACCTCGTCTGTAATGTATCACTAAAAACTTATTTCTCTTCTATTTTACCAATATGTGTGCTATTTTGCTTTATTGAGCCTAGTCTTAAACATATGTTTTTATCTCTATAAATCTATCTATTATCTGTGGTTTGCTTTCAGTATCAGTGGCTTTGCCATTTTTGTGGGGCTTTGCTCATTTTTCCAAACACATTTTGTTGAACCAGGTATGCTGTCACTTCCTTCTCTCAGACCGTTTGGGATAATTGTTACATCGTTTAATCAAATTGTATTATCCGTACAGGCAGCTAATCTGATTTTAGCAGGTTTCTCTGGGGTTAGTCCCTATACAACGTATTTTGATTCTCTAATCTGTTGCTCGACAAATCGACAGCTCTTAAAATTCTCAAAATCTACCTATAAGATCTACTTTTGTGCTATACCCAAATTCACAAAATGCTTTTACAAATGGTTGTTGAATCTGTGTTGGTTCTAATCTATCGCATTAATCTAAGTCTACATTAATCTAGGGCTACACTCCATCGTAACTTATCTACTTTTGAAGTAACTACTTTTGGACATAATATGAAGGAAATGGTCTTTTTACCGTTTGATATTAACCCTGTCTAAAAATAATCTCTATTTTTTGAAAGCATCTATCTATTTTACACTCTATTGTGACTCCAAATCTTGGTTGTAGTTTGAGCCAAAGCATATTCCCAATTTTTGAGTTCTGATTGTAACAATTGCATTGGTCAATAGGATGATTTTTTTGGCGGGTTCTTCGTTACTGCAAATCTTATTCTATTGTATTGTATTTCAGGACTATTCAAATAACAACACAACAAAATATTCTCCTATATAAAGACATACATCTAAATCAAGTTGCCTGAAAGGATTTTATAACTATTTTAAAACGTTCTCTACGGATTATAAGGTATGCATTTAATTATTTAATATAACATCAAGCAAATTCATGGCTTCTGTCCGCTGCTTATAACTGTTTAAAGGGGGGGGGGGGGGGGGGGGGGGGGGGGGGGGGGTGGGGGGGGGGTGGGGGGGGGGGGGGGGGGAGGGTTTGTCCCAAACTTTATTTGTGTAAATCATAATCTTATTAAACATCAGCTGTTTGTAATAAACAATAACATTTAACCTGTTCTACTCCAATGGAGCAGTCAGGAGGCTGCGTCACGTAGCAATGTTATATTTGAGCTATTTTTAGATTTAAAATTGTGTTAATGCCTGGTCGTTCTATGGTCTGCATTTTAATATACTCTCTATAAAAACTTCTGCACTGTGTTTCCTACAGATGTGGAAAACTGAAACCTCTAAACTCTGACTCCATGCGTGATTTCCTTTTTACTTTAGTTATTAGATAACATTTGACCTTATTGGATACTTATTTCCACAATAGAACTATTCTTGATTATTCATAGTCTAACTATTATTACTTGTGTTTATTCTGACCACCTCCTCCTAGCGGCACTTTCATCCTATTTAAAAGGATTTCCTTTTGAATCCAATGACATTATAGCTCCTGACGCTACTCCCCCCTTTTTCATTAGATTCTATTATATCTTTATTATTATATTATCCTATTATCTTAAAAGAGTAGATCTGTTTGATGTTATAAGCGCTTTTATTATTTCTCCTTTTAGAATTTGCACACACTAAATTTAGCAATGACCCCACTATGGGAAAATATAGATTTTGATTTCATTTTAGCAACTCGAATTATCTTATAATTTTCACATTTGTGCTTTTTTTAGGGGCTGCCCTTTCTATAATTTATTTGTTCTGTGAGAAATTTATGTTTTACCTTCTTTCTACATGATTTCGGAAGGTTAAGGAAACCATGGACCACTATGACAATACATTCTCCCCTCTGGTGGTCGTGGTCAAATAAGTATATAACATGCATAGGTATGTGGTTTTGTAGATTACTGTTTTGTCCAAGCCTGTTGTCCTCCCGGATCGTCCTCAAATCATATTTGTGGGCTTTGGTGCCAAAGAGTAAGTGGCTCATTTTCCTTATTTCATAATACTACTGTCATCCCTGACGCAGTGTGCCAGTGTTATCGTTTTCATTCTGGAATAATCAATCCATGATATGGGAACACATGGAGAAACGCCCCACTCTTCCTCTTCTTCGCATGGGTGGCGGGGTCCACTCTGCTGGTCAATCAATCCAATTGGGCAAATTCATAACTGACTTTGAACCATGCCGGTGTGTGACATCAGGGCCAATAGGCTTTTTTTACGGGGGGGCCCCAAATAATAACAGACTTGCAGGACTTAACCTAGTATGGTATGTCTGAATTTTATAACTCCCCTAATTGTGGAATTACAATCCCAACATAAATAATAAGGGGGGGGGGGGTATGTTTTTTTGGGGGGTCCCCTTCAAACTCCACGGGACAGCTCTCTGCGGTTGGGATTTGTCCCGATTTCAACTGATTCCCGGGGGACAAACAGGCAGTCGGGAGGGGACTCCTGTACCTTCATGCAAAGGGTATGTCCATCTCAGGGAGTACTTTTCTCAGAGTACTTTTCTACTCAGTGTACTCATCCCAGAGTAACTCTCACTTTTACACCTGGTTCAATCTAACAGGGCTTGTTTATCTTGTTGCAAATCTCTTCAGTAATTACCACCGGTTTGCTGTTGACAAAAAAAAATTAATTTTATTCCCTGGATCACAATTAAATACTTTAAGAAAACTTTTGGTTATTCCATGATTCCGTTTCCGCACTCCTCAATTTCATTCCTCATTTCACTCCTCATTTTCACTCCACACTCAGCATCCACTCACACAGGGCCGGATTTCCCCACGTTAGTATTTTAGGTCCAGTGGGTTTGTTAAGGTTCTAGTACGTTTTTGGTTGCAATTGACATGACGCACCAAACATTAGAACATACACAAACATTTAGAACATACACATATCATATAACTTACACCAAACCATATAACTTCACTCAAACATAGATCATCAGGTAAGCGCCTAGGAATTTTTTACTTTTGTTATATTCTTCCTTGTACCAATTACAATTGTTTCATGAGCTATTTTCTATTGTTTGCAACTTTCAGAGCCTGCAGAACATGCAAGCTTTGAGAGATTTTTCCTCAAAGGATCCATTTCCACACTTTAGTGTTCTAAACCACGTGGTCTTTACTCGGCCTCTGTCACAACTGTGTCCCATATTTTTTAATGAGCTCATTGGTACTTAAAAAAAAATCATGCGTGCAATAAATGTTTTTCCTTTTTTTTTTTTAAAGGCCAGTTCGGATTCCTTAAAAATGTAAATTAGTTTCAAACTATATTACTTACCTTTGTTTCACGTTCATGTGGAGAAACGACCATTGTTTTATGTGTGTGTGTACTTGCGCCAATCATGTCTCAGATAAACTGCCACCAGTTGTATCAAAGACATACTTGTCCTAATTGTTTCTAATTTAGCTATTTGGAAGAGAAACATTGTCATAAAAGTTTACCTAAATGTCTCTACATCCGTTTTTATTGTAATAACCCCTGAAACCAGATGAGGAACAGGTGGTGCGTTCTATGTGTTTTCAGAAATGATCGTATTATCTCCTGTAGCCCTAAAATTCAGAACATGCTTTTAAAATCCATTTTTCCATAACTTTAATTTGTTCTTGAACAAAACCATTTTTGTACTAAAGGCAGTCGTCCATTTAATAGCGTGCAGTTCTCTTTCCCTGAGCTCACAGTCTTCAAACTGTGCTTGTGACTGTTTTTATAATGTTTAACGCGAGCCACCGGTTCCTGAGGTTGAAAACACTGCTTTAACATATCCGTAGTATTACCCAAGATCATGCAGGTTAAAATTCCTCAATAATTTTCTTTAACACTTTCTCGGCGTCTTTTATAGATACTTTAAGTAAAATTTAAATCATACTAGGTGTAATTTTTCCAAATTATTTAGGGGGAGGCTCCCTTTTCTACCTTTTAAATATTCTGCTTGTTCCTAATCTCCTTGTGTCTCATGGCTTAAATTAAAGCAAGAGTCTAATTAATTTTATACGAAATGTCCTGTATTCTTTCATGCAGCTAAATGTGGTGTTATGATACGAATGACCTAGCTAAATGTGTAAACATGACTTAATATGTCTCTGTGCGGTTTGTTGCTGTCTGTATATTACCTTCTGTCTGTCTCATTTAGGCCCTGACACGTCTCAAATGTCCGTTAATGTCTTTCTTT